CAGCAGGTGTGCGGAAGCAGAGGCGTGTGGGGGACTATTCAGCAAAGGGGGTGCTGAGGCCGCCGAGGGAGTGGGCGGTGGGAGGGGAGGTCATGGCTGGGATGCGGGCCTCCCCTCCTTCCCGGCCCTAGAAATTCCTCAGGATGTTGTTGATGATGTTGTTCCTGGCATTGTCATACAAGTCCCTGACCGCGGGGGGCAGCTTGGAGCGGTCGATGTCTGAAGCGGCTTCTTCGGGGGGTGGAGCCGGAGCCGTCGGCTGCTCCCGCGAGTCCTGCAGAAGGGACGCTGTGGTCACGCTCACCGCCCTCACGGACTGTCACCCCTTCCCGTCCTGCCTGGGCTCCTCCCCAGGCCGATGAAGAGGCTGCGGCCCAGGCAGCCGTTGGTGATGGGGCTGGAGGTGCGCCCAGAGGGCCCGGGCAGGCCTGGGCCTCGGGACTCGCTTCCACCCTCGCTCTCCACTCACCGGCCAGGAGGCTGCACCTCCGTGGTGTCTTCCCCCCAAGTGTGGGCTGGAGAGGAGGGTCGGTTCCCAAGAGCCAGCGTCCTGCCCAGGAGGCAGGTGCGGCTCCCAGCACCCCCGGCCCCACCCACCGGCCTCGCCCCTCCCCTTGTGCCAAATGACCCACCATCCTCAGAATCCCTCGAGAACCGGCATGGAGGACGGCTTGGTCGTGATCAACCCATTCTCCAGTCGAGGAAACTGAGGCCCCCTGTGCCCAAGCCAGTGGCTCACCTCTTGCTGGCGCTCGGGGCCTGGGCTGCAGTCGACCAACAGGATGCTCAGACGGCCCCGCCGGCCGAAGGTGCTCGTGCAGTTCCGCTCCTCCTGCGGGGCAGCCAGCACAGGGGCTGGAGGCGGATCCGGGCCCAAGGCACCCACCCCACAGCCCACCGCCGTGTGCTCATCCTCCCAAACCAGAGCTGCAGCTGAGGATGACCCAGGGCCCCCCCGGACTAGACACCCCCCCCCAGGTGAAGGACCTGCTCGTCGGTGACTCAGGGATGCCGCCCTCGAATGAGCCCCCTGAAATGTGTGGGGGCACGAAGGGGGCCGCCCACGGGGCTGTCGGACCCTGGGGGGTGGGGTTGTGGGAGATCCTGACCTCATTTTATTTTGCTTCTCCACAGTTTGTTAATTTGCCATCAGAAAATGTTATTTTTCTAATTTCATACCTTAGGTACATTATGGTCCCACTTTATTCTTTTTCCATTTAGTCATTTTTTTAAAAAATATATTTCTATTGATTTCAGAGAGGAAAGGAGAGAGATAGAAACATCACTGATGAGAGAGAATCATGGGTCGGCTGCCTCCTGTTCGCCCCCCACTGGGGATCGAGCCCACAACCCGGGCTTGTGCCCTTGACCGGAATTGAACCCGGGACCCTTCAGTCCGCAGGCCCACGCTCTATCCACTGAGCCAAACCGGCCAGGACTATTTAGTCATTTTTAGCATGTTTTGCTTTTATAATAAGGACTAATTTATAGTAAGAAAACACAAAGCAGTAGGGAAAACATTTCTAAAAAGGCTCTTACAGTGAAACCTGGCGTGGCCGGAGAAAATGGGCAGAGACGAACAGAGCCCCCCACCCCCCCCAGGCCAGTGGAGAGGAGAGGACCCCCTGCTCCTGCTGGGTCGGGGGACTCACCCCGCCGTCCCTGAAGGCGCACTGCTGGGGCTCTAGCTCCTGCTGCCGCCCTGAGAGGCACACCGTCTCCTTGATCCTGAACCTGACCAGCGTCCTTAAGGTGGAGTTCTGCAGAAGCAAGAGCAGCTCCTGGTGAGTCCCTCAGCGGACGGAGCCGAGGCACCGAGCGGTCAGCGCAGCCCGGAGGAAGGGCTGAGCCCAGGCCCGGGCTTCCCACCACGGCCAGGGCCTCTCAGGCCGCGGAGGTGCGGGGAGCTCTCGGAGACTGGCCGCAGGAGCCACTTCAGAGCCGTGTGCCCGGAGGGGCCACTTCAGAGCCGTGGGCCGTCTGCTGTGACCAGGAACAAGATACCAGCCGTGCCTTGGCGGTGGCTCAGTGGTTAGACAGTGCAGGACGCAACCAGTCGATGTGGCTCTCTCGCATCCATGTTTCCCTCCCTCCCTCCCTCCCTCTCCCCCCCCCCCCCACTCTCCCTGAAAAAGCAGTGGACAAACTATCCTCAGCTGAGGATAAACAAACAACAGAAAGAATACCAGCCTTGGGGGGTGGGGGTGGCGGGGGGTGACGATGGGGGGAAGGAGACATATGAAATACTGTATGTAATACTTAAACAATAAAAACAAGAACACCAGCCCTGCACGCTCAGCTCCCTGCCAGGAGAGGCCGTGGGGCGGGAAGGGGAGACCAGGCCTTTTCCTGTCTGTGCACTCCTTCCGACCGGGGCTGGACCCCCAACCTCCCAGCAGGCCCGCTGTCCGGCCAGAGATGACCACCTTTCTTCCCCTCGAGGGGAGAAGCAGCCCCACGTTAACCACAGCTCATGTTAACCGGCACGTGGGGCCGTGCCAGGCCGCCTCTCCCACCTGCGCCCTCGCGGGCTGCTGCGGACGCTCACCGATCTGGCTGTTGGGAGGACTTCCAACAGGCCAAACAGGGGCTGGCCTTGCCTCTCGGAGTTGAAGAATTGCAAGGCCTGGGCGGCAATCCTCTCCGGGGGGAACCGCCGGTGTTGGGCCTCACAGGCCATCGCCGCCAAGCCCGCCACCAGCACGAGTGCCCTCCAGGCCCCTGCCATGTCCCTTCTCTGGCCCACGGCCACTTGCCGGCCCTTTTAGGCGCTCCTTGGGCGGCCTTGTGCCAGGGCTGCTGGTGACATGAGGGCCTCTCCCTTCCTTTGCCAGACACCACTGTTGGCCAATGTTCTGAAATGCCATTGGCCAAGAAGCAAGCAGGTTTGGGCAACGGCTCAGGGCCTCCGAGTGGGTGAGAGCCCTGAGCCGGGGCAGGAGACCTGGCTGATCTGGGGCAAGTCCCTTCCCTCTGGGCCTCCGTGTCCCCACCTGTGCCACCAGGAGGCCGGCGCCGGCTCCGGCGGCAGGACCCTGTGCCGTCTCCGCCTGGCGGTTCTGGTTTGACCCCAAAGAACCTTCCAGAACACGGAGTCTGTGTGCGGCAGCCCCTCGGCCACGGGCACAGAGACGGCCCCTCTGCGGCTGGGCCAGGCTGCCGTCCACGATGTGACATACATTTTACAAGCTGGTGTCAGCCTTCAGAAACCTGAGCCTGACTCTGAAAAAGCCAGATCTGCTCACCCCGGCTCATCGTCCCTGCGGCTGTGACGGCGGCGGCCTCCCCAGGGAGACCCTCACTGTCGCCTCCTGGCCGCTCCCTGGACAAGGCTGGGAGGCGAGGTACGGCTTCCTAGCTGCTGGGATGGGCAGTGTCCTTTTTCTTGTGCTTGATGTCCATTTCCTAGGTGTACCGGTTAGTAATGCGGATTGACTATTAACCGGTTACTAATGCGGATTGACTGTCAACCAGTTAGTAATGCGGATTGACTATTAACCGGTTAATAATGCGGATTGACTGTTAACCGGTTAGTAATGCGGATTGACTGTTAACCGGTTAATAATGCGGATTGACTGTTAACCGGTTAGTAATGCGGATTGACTGTTAACCGGTTACTAATGCGGATTGACTGTTAACCGGTTAGTAATGCGGATTGACTGTTAACCGGTTACTAATGCGGATTGACTGTTAACCGGTTAGTAATGCGGATTGACTATTAACCGGTTAATAATGCGGATTGACTGTTAACCGGTTAGTAATGCGGATTGACTGTTAACCGGTTAGTAATGCGGATTGACTGTTAACCGGTTACTAATGCGGATTGACTGTTAACCGGTTAGTAATGCGGATTGACTGTTAACCGGTTAATAATGCAGATTGACTATTAATCGGTTAATAATACAAATTTTGTAATCAAAGAAAACACGATAATTTCAAGAGAAACATCAAAGGTGCTTTATTCAACGTAATGTCCATCGCTAGCTACACATTCCCCCATCTTTCAGGTAATTTGTGGGGACTATCCCAATAGAACTTTTCTTGTTTTGAGGCAAACCATTCAGAGACCCAATTTTCCACTTCTTCGTATATTTTAGGTGCTGCTCAGAAAGTGCGTGTGCCGTCGATCGGACAAGTGGTCACCTGAAGGCGCAAGGTCTGGCGAATCCGGCAGGTGGGTTCATACTTCCCAGGCAAGACCTTCTAACGTGTCTTTAACTGGTTTTGAAGTGTGTGATGGTGGGTCATCATGAAGCAAAATTACTTTGCCGTGTCTTCTGGCCCATTCTGGTGGTTTTATGATCAAAGCGTGGTTCAAATTGATTATTTGTTGTCGGTAGCGATCAGTATTAATGGTTTCACCTGGTATGAGAAGCTCATGATACACCACACCTTCCTGATCCCACCAAACACAGAGCATTGTCTTCTTTCCGAAGCTATTTGGCCTTGCAGTCGATGTTGACGGTTGACCTGGATCAACCCATGATTCTGTGCGTTTGGGATTCTCAAAATAAATCCACTTTTCATCGCCAGTCACAATTCGATGCCAAAAAGACTTTCTTTCGTGCCGTTGAAGCAACATTTTACTGATGACTTTTCGGATTTCCATTTGTCTTTCGTTCAGTTGATGTGGCACCCATTTTCCTTCCTTTAAAATCTTTCCCATTGCTTGTAAACGATCAGAAATGGTTTGCTGAGCAACATTTAATCTTTCTGCAAGTTGTTTTTGAGTTTGACACGCATCTTCACCCAATAATGCTTGTAATTGTTGGGCTTCAAACTTTTTTGGTTGACCTGGATGTTGTCTTTCACATCGAAATCATCCCTTTGAAAGCGTTTAAACCAGCGTTCACAAGGATCTCGAGACGGAGCATGTTCACCATAAGCTTCCTGAAGTATACGATCACTTTCAGCAGCAATTTTCTTCAAAATAATGAATTTAAACTTCCCGCAAATGCTCTTTTTTTTTGGCACGAAATTCGACATTTTTAAGTGTAAAAATATCTATGATGTGAACACCTTCAGCAAATTTGACATATGAAGTTTTGAAGCTTGTTGTCAATACAGCAAAATAGCATACATATTAAATCGCATATATATCAACGTATGTGTAACTCCATCTATTGGAAAAAATCCGCATTATTAACTGGTACACCTAGAATAAATCTTTTAAAAAATCCTCACCCAGCCCTAGCCAGTTTGGCTCAGTGGATAGAGCGTTGTCCTGCAGACTGAAGGGTACCAGGTTCGATTCCTGGTCAGGGCACTTGCCTGGGTTGTGGGCTTGATCCCCTGTAGAGGGCGTGCAGGAGGCAGCCAATTATTCTTTCTCATCATGGATGTCTCTCTCTCTCTCCCACTCTCCCTTCCTCTCTGAAATCAATAAAAATATATTTTAAAAAAGAGAAAAAAAGAACAGCCCAGGCACAGAGCTGGTAAGGGAAGGTGCTGGGAGGTGCTGGGCTACCAGCCCAGGGTGGCGCCCCCACTACTCTGCCCTCCATGGGGCTGTGGGCTGGCTGGCCCCCATCTGCTGAGCGGAGTCTGCTGGGAGGGAGCCTGGAGCCTGGGAGGGCGAGGGCAGGATTCCCGCGTCCAGCAGGAGGTTTCTCCAAGCCCCGCCCTGCATGTGACCACCTGGGGATGAGTTTGGGGCAAGGGGCAGGTGAGGCTCTGGAGGGCGTTGGAGGGTGCAGGGAGCAGGAAGTGGACACGGGGGCTCCCCCGGCAGGAGGCGAGAGCCCCCCTTCAGGTGAGCGTGGCTGCCACAGGGCTCACTGAGCCAGCAGCACCTCCCCAGGCCCCGTGGCTTCGGCGCCTCCGTGAGAGCGTGGGGAAGCAGAGCTTTCACCAGGGCCGGCGGCCCTTGGGCAAGGCTCCGCCCTGGCTGGGCCTCCGCGTCCCTCTGGCTCTAACGCGTGGTCAGGGCGGGCAGAGACCCAGGCCTCAGCCCTTGCCCAAGTCGGTGGAGAAAGGGGCTGTGGCACCACTGCCCGTGGGGACACACACCTGATGCTTCGAAACCAGCCGTGTGGACACAAGTTGCCCCACTACCAGGGACGCCTGGCCTCTGAGAGTCCAAGTGGAGCCCAGCCCTGACCCCGCAGGTGTGGTAACCCCCGGGCCGACCCTCTCCAGCCCTCACTGCGGAGTCCAGGCTGAGGATGTCGGGGGGGGGGGGGGGGGGGGTGCCCGGGGCACCCTGAGGCCCATCGGCCCGGGCCCTCCCGTCCAGCAGCTGGAACCCGGGGTCTGTCCCTGGCAGGAGAGGGAGAAACCCTCCATTGCTTGCTTCCCTTCACAGACACCGGTGCAGGCGTGCCCCTCGCCTGAGAATTAAGCCTGGTTCTGAACAAAACCACCTTATTTCAAGTCCATGGGGCCTTTGTGCAGCCAATGGTGCCCCAGGTGGTGGCCCTGGCGCCATCTGCTGGCCAAGTGACGTCCAAGACCTGGGGAGGGAGTGGGTTTCTTCATTATTATTTAAATACTAGAGGCCCGCCTTCCCTGGCTGCCTGCACAGGCCTCCCTCCAGCACCGGGGGCCCAGGCTTCCCTCGCAGCCCCCACTTTGTCCGGAAGGTCATCCGGAAGGACGTATGGTCTAATTAGCATATTACGCTTTTATTATTATAGATGTTTTTATTGATTTGAGAGAGAGAGGGAGGGAGAGGAATAGAGAGAAACATGGATAGGCCACCATATGCACGCCCCCTGCTGGGGAGCGAGCCCACACCCGGGCATGTGCCCTGACCAGGAATCAAACCCGTGATCCCTTGGTTCTTGGGTCGACCCCCAACCCCTGAGCCACCCCGGGCGGCGGGCGGTTCTGCTTTTGGAGGGGCCTCGGGGCGCTGCCCTTCTCCCCAAGCTGTGCTGCTGGAGCCTTTTCCAGGGAGGAAGGAACCAAGCTCTCAGGTCCTTGGAGGGAGGGAGAGGGGAGGCCGCTGTGTCACCAGCAGCTGCTTCTTTGCTGCTCCCCGGGGAGCCTCTCTCTGGGCCGAAAGGAGGGGTGCTGCCTGAGGTCCCCTCGCCAAGCTCCAGGTGCCCGGCAGCGGGGTGGCTGGGGGAAGGGACGCGACGGGGACGCTTCCGCTGGCTCCCAGACTGCCAGGTGAGACCAGCCCTCCCACCCCTCCCCTCCCTCCCTCTCCTCCCGCCCCCTTTCCCTTCTCCCCCTCTCCCTTTCTCGGCCCTGCCAGACCTCGGACCCCCCTGGGCGCCCCCCTGGTGTTTAGGGCAGCCTCTTCCCTCTCCATGCTTGTGATCGTCATCCCAGGAAGGCAGCTCCTAGGCTCCTGTTTGGGTGACTGGGCCCATTCTTCCCGGACGCACCAGAACCAGGAGCTGTGCCCAGCCGTGGGGCACAAGGGACGGGTCCTGTCCACCCGACAAGCTAATGCCCACGTTTCCCAAGGTGGCGGCTCCTCTGCAGGTGATGAATCTTCCTATTGCTCCACATCCTCGCCATCAACTACCTTTTTAAAAGGTGTTTTTATTGACTTCAGAGAGGAAGGGAGAGGGAGAGAGAGAGAGAAGCATCGATGAGAGAGAATCATGGATCGGCTGCCTCCTGCACACCCCACACTGGGGCTGGAGCCCACAACCTGGTCGTGTGCCCTGACCAGGAATGGAACCAGGACCTCCTGGTTCATAGGTCGACGCTCAACCACTGAGCCAGGCCGGCCGGGCACCATCGCTATCTTTGAGTGCCGTGCACTCCTTGGTCGGATGAGTATCAAGTGGACTAGTCGTGGTTTGGGCTTGCGTTTCCCTCTGCGTGGTGAGGTTGAACATCTTCCTGTAGGTGTTTGGTTGTTCCCATACAAGACATGTGCCCATTTTTCTACTGGGTTGTTTGTCTTGAGAACTCATTGGAGTTCTTTGCATATTCTAGACCAGTGGTTCTCAACCTTCCTAATGCCGCGACCCTTTAACACAGTTCCTCATGTTGTGGTCACCCCCAACCACAAAATTATTTTCGTTGCTACTTCATAACTGTAATTTTGCTACTGTTATGAATCGTCATGTAAATATCTGATATGCAGGATGTATTTTCATTGTTACAAATTGAACATAATGAAAGCATAGTGATTAATCACAAAAACAT